GCAGTGTCACTGGCCCTCATATGTGGGATCCGAACCGGGGCCCTCTGGCATCCCAAGCGAGTTCTTAACCATCGCGCCACTCGGCCGGCCCCCCAATAAAATCTTTAAAAAAAAAAAAAAAATTAGTCACTTGTTTTAAAAGCACTCTTCAAAATGAGTTTTTAAAATTTTGCCAAATATATAAGATACCATAAGAGATCACTAATATCCCAATAGCCTGCCATTGTGAAATTTAGAGACACAAAAAAAATGCAGATAAAACTTTTTATCCCAACAGCTGCCACCATCCTTATACCTTTCATCAAAACTAATGAAAACACAATTATAAACTTTATGTGTGTCATCCTACAGGCCCCCTTTGAACCCAGGTCACACCTAAAAACTCCCAAGAACACAATGGCTAAGACACAGCTAAGCTAAGGCCAAAAGCAGCAGAGCAGAGGGCGTGGTTGAGCCAGTGGCATCAGGCCTTTGTCAGGGGCCGCCTACCTCGCTGACGCTGACAGAGCCACTTCCCATCTCAGCCAACTGCTCGCTCACACACATTATCTCCTTCTTGTTGTTTTGCAGACACGCCTGCGGAAATGGTAATAAACATAATGAAGCCAACAAAGCATTCCTATGGGAAGTAGTCCCAGGCCTGGCAGATGTGAGACGTCCTAACTAAATAAGGCTGTAATTTCAAATACGAACACTCAATTTGAAAATGTTTTTCTAATAAGGGCTTCTGTTTAAAATGACATATTCATTCAGTTTTCGGACATCAGTTGCTGCATTTCTCCAGGCAGTCTGTTTAAAGCAACCAACAAGGAGTGACAGGCCTGCTTCTCCTCTAGCGATTAAGGACGGGCCCGGGGACAGGTCAGCAGTGACTGTGGGACGGGCCTGAACCCCATCGCCACTGAAGACAGTTAAAAATGCACAGCTGCAGCCCCGCTGAGGCTCAGGCACAAAGGACACACACAGCCCCCAGGACTCCTGCCAGCGCTGCCACTTACTCCTCCAACAACTGCCAGGTCGGCACTCCAGGCAACGACCCTAAATGCAATCTAATACACTGCCAGGCTGTCCAAGGTCACGTTCCCTACACAGCTGCGTTATCAGCTGCGCTGTGCAGGGGCTGGCTTTCTTTTCTGCTTCCACAGCACAGTTACATTAAGGTAACAGGATTTACAAGCGACCTCTCTTCACCGAGGTGGGAAGATAGCGACGACGAGTGACCTCCTCCCCTAGACTGGGCACCCTGGGAGGCCAAGGCAGGGCCATCACTCCCAAGTCCGGTTTGCTCCCTTGTCACAGTTCTGCCGTCAGGGAAGTGCCTCTCCCTCAGTCTCACTCCAACAAGCAGCTTCAAAAGCCCGGTCATCAGCGCTGTGGACTGGAAGCAGAGGCTGGTGCGGAGGTGGGAGCAGGCCACGCTTGCCACTCAAGGCCACTCTGGTTTTCCGCCCGTGATGCCTACAAACTGCCCCATGCAGCCTCAGTGCAGACATGAGGCTGGCACTTCCAGAGCCACCTGCCAGCGTAGGGTCCCTCCCGTCTTCAGGAGGAGGGCTGATGTTGCTGCCCAGGACAGCCTGAGGCTCCGCCCCGATGCCCTGCAGCTAAGAGTCCCCACGTGGGCCGGCCACAGCACTTCTGTAACCCACGTAAGCTCAGGTGCCAAGGTGGGTCTCCTCAGCTCACCGTCATGCCGGCGCTGTCAGCCTGACACCCGCCGAGGCTGGCACCAGAGTGGCACCAGCCTAATTCAGGTCCAGGCGTCACACCCCTTCGTTCCTGCTCACTGAGTCATCTTTAACCTTTTCTAGCTGTTCTTTTGAGTCCAAAAGCTTTCGTTAAAACAAAAAACGTACGTGTTAAGAGTTACCTAATGCTTAATAATTTTTAAGATCACGCTGAGAGATTTAAAAGTATATGCCCCAGAGTGATTACTATCCTATAACTCACATGAAAATGGTAAAGCACAAGGACTACACAGGAGCTGCAGACCCACCACCGCACAGCTGGGACACCTGGCGTCCCCTACCAAGCAACGAGCAGGGGGGCCCGCCTGCTTGCTTACCTCGCTGTCCCGTGGCAGGAGTGCCCTCTGCACAGCCTCTAACTGGACTTCTGGACCCTCGGGCAGGCAGCCCGTAAGCAGCCAGGGGCGTCGGCCCTCATCTCGCTTAGACTGCAGCATGGACGCCAGGAGCAAGCTATTCATTTGCTGTTCCTGTAAGGCCTCCTTATCCTAGTTGAGAAAAAAGGTAAGGATTTCAGGCATCAGGGACAGAACTGCTGTGTTAAGGTGTACACCATCCCCAGCTCTGCCTGGAGCTCACCTGCACGTACCACACACCTGATCCCCAGATGCCCCTGCTAAAGGACGCAGCCCCAAACAGAGCCAGTGGCCCCGGCATCCCATTGTGGGGGACTGATTCTTAGAGGTCACTCAACAGGTACAGAAAGAGTCTCCAGGCTTAGCAATTTCAAAACGCCGCAAAGAACTTGCCGAAAAACAGGGCAATGGATGACAACACCTCCGTACAGGGAATATTAACAGCCCATTAAAAGTTTTCCAAGAAAACCTGATATGGATAAAACGTCGCCACATATTAAGTGGGGGAAGGAAGGGCACAGGAAGTTGTACACAGGCTCCCAAAGCGGAGGGAAAACACGGTGTTTCCTACATGCCTGGCACCCAGAGATCAGTGAGTGCTTGCAGGGGGACAGAAGGGGAGCAGCCAGCACACAAAGTGGATGGGCAGCACTGCTCCCCTGCAGGTGTGAGGCGAGGACGACTGGGCCCAGCTGGTGTTCTCAAGGAGGATCCCAGACTCCACTCAGTCGTTCTCATGGGCATTTTCCGCAACCAAACACGCCTGGTGAAAACTCGCCTCCTTGGGGGCGGGATGTGCCTTAGGGCGAGGTGAGTGATTCTAAAATAAAATTTCTCATTGAGCCTCCCTCACTTTTCACGTAAGCGTTTAACCTCCAGTGACAGGACATAACTGAAAAGTCAGAAGTTCAAGTGCTTTTTTTTTTCCCCAATTGTGGAATTGGGGGAGGGGAACAGTGTTGGGGAATTGGGGAGGGGGACCAGCCAAGTTGGTCTTCAATCTTAGCTGTGGAAGGCGCCAGTCACCATTTGGCTGCCCGCCGGCAGCTCGTGGCCTCTAAGCTCAAGATGCCGAGTTCAGTCTTAGCTGCGGATGGGCATAGCCCACCATCAAATAGGCAGTCTTGTTGTTAGGAGCACGTGCTTTCACCAGCTGAGCCATCCTGCCACCTGTTGGCAGCTCGGCTCAGGTGCAGCTCACTGTCCCATGTGGGAATCTAACTGGCGGCCCTGTTGCTCAGAGCTCACGCTCTTTAACTCTTAACCAACTGAGCCACTTGGCCGGCCCAGTTTTTGACGAAAGTACTTGCGTGGACACGCCGTGGGCCCCCTGCCCTCACACTGAGCACAGCTCACCCTCTCACCTCAAATGTTCAGATGCAAACAGAAGCATCTGTCCCTCACACACATAACTGCAAATTTCATGAAAACTGTCACTGGAGGCATTCTCACTGAGGAGTTGGCATAAATTACTAAACTAAAAAATTAAAATAACTGTAACTAGCTCTAAAGTATTTAACGAAGTAACTTTTTTAAACCTAAAATCTTGAGCATTTAACTTTACGAAATTACTAAAGAGTACTACACCAATTATTGTAAGGTGCTATTACTCTAAAAATGGGATACTGTGACTTATAAGAAAGATGTATTTGGTCTCCATCCGATTCCTAGGAGAGCTCCTAAAACCCTTGGAATTTCCTGAGTGATACGACAGAGCAAGGGGTTTGCCATTCAGAACAAGCCCCTTCCAGCCACACCTGAGTTTATGTTGCTGAGGCGACTTCTGGAAAGCTCTCGGTCGCCTAAGGGTGGGGGCTGGCCTGGTCACCAGGGGAACCAACCCTGTGATGAGGATTGGACCTTTCAGTCCATCCCTGACCTCTGGGGAGGGGACAGGGGCTGGAGGTTGAATCAATCACCAATGGCCACTGACTGACGCAACTGCACCTGGGTGGTGGGACCTCCCCAAAACCCCAAAAGGACGAGTTTGGTGAGCGCATGGAGGTGCTGGAACAGTAGACCCCAGGGACCCCGAGCCCGTCCCCAGGCCTCGCCCTCCGCGTCTTGCTTCCCACCTGCTCCTCAGTCAGACCCTTTATGACCCTAATCCCCTAAGAAACGTGTGTCCCGACTCCGGGAGCCCCTCTAGCAAGTTCCTGGGACCCAAGGAGAGGTGTGGGGACCCCCGACTTATAGGCGGTCTGTCGGAAGTACGTGTGGCCGGGCCTTGCGGCTGATGTCTGAGGGGCAGTGTTGTGGGACTGAGCCTCCCTCGTGGGGTCTACGCGAGCCCCAGGGGCTGGTGTCAGGACTGCACTGGGACCTGCTGAGGGCGGGGAGCTGCTCAGTGTGTGGGAACCCCCACGTTTGGTGAAAAGAGTTTCATGACGCAGCAGAGGACGCATGGAGCATTTCCCTCCAGAGCAGACAAAAGCTGAGAGGTCAGAGGAAACTCGGTCGGTCAGCGGGTGGCCCGGGGGCCTTGCTGACACTTGGTCTTCCAGAGCAGCTCGGGCGGTGCACCCACGACAGGGACCCGTCCAGAACCCCACATGCTGCGGGTGCTCACCTGCTGCAGCTCTCGCATGGCTCCCCTTAGTCCCTCCAGCTCCTCCTGGAGCTGGGTCACGTGCCTCGTAATGCTGGCATTTGTTTCTTCGAGATGCTTAATTTCCTCCTCCTGGATCAACACTTGTCTTTCTGCTAATTCTTTCTTTATAACCAATTCATCAAGTTCACCTGATTTTTCTCTCAATTTTTCCTGTAATAATTCAACCTAAAACAACAAAAAATGCTTCAGAAATACTATAGTTAAAAAAAAAAAATCTTCCAAATAAAAGTACCCAAACACTCGACAGAAAACTCGTCGTCCATGCGGTTTTCTAGACCTCGGTGCAATGAAGCCTCGGGGACGAACGTGGTGCAGCTGTTGTAAGAGGGGCACTCTCCCAAGGGGAAGACAGGAAAGCGATGACACCCAGTTTATCAGGAAAGGGACTTGGCCTCACAGCGAGGAGTGGGGAGCACTCAGCAGGAAACTTGGACGCTAAGCACAGACGGCACGACAGCGACCGACTGGGACCTCCAGAGAAGGAGGCTGTGGACGAAGCTGGCCCAAGGCACCCACTGTGCGCTCCCCTCATAGAGGGACCCCATGGGAGGGAGCACCCTGCCTGGGATGAGGCTGGACCCACAGGATGTCACCACTGGGAACACTGCGCCGAGGCGCACGGGATCTGTGTCTTACTTCTCATAACCGCACGTGAACCCAGTTGTCTCAGAACGTGTTTAACAAAGAACAAGCCCACTGAGTACAGAGACTCAGGCAGGAGCAGCAGACAGTCCGGCCCCACGCAGAAGGCTGCAGGGAACAGCAGCAAGACGCAGGGGCGCCGGCCACCCCACCCCCCATCCCCACACGCACCGGTCGGCCAGCACTGACAACACATACCTGCTCGTCTCGCTGCGCCTGCTGTCATTCCCGGATACATGGAAGACAAAAACAGTTTTCAACATAAAGCTTAAGAGCCCCATAGAGAACTGCTACCCCTTAAGTGTGGCCAGTAGCGGGGCCGACTTACGTCGCCGTCAGAGGGGCCCCAGGGCCGCGGCCGGGCCGCCTGCCGCAGCTGCTCCTCCAGCCTCTGAATCTCTTGCTGGAACTCCTCACGCTCCTGCTCCCGCTCCACAGCCTGCTCCTGTCACCAGGCGAGATGTGCACTCAGGGCCACAGTGCTCCCGGGATCGCCCACCCAGGAAGGAGGCCCAGCAAAGGGAGGCGGCTGGGCCTGTGCAGACCGGCCCCTGGCCTTCCGCTCAGTGGCCAGGGCTTCCAGGCAGCACAGGTCCACTGCTCAGCCACGTGGCCTCGTGCGGCACTGCAGAAATGCGGCTAGTGAGGGGACAGTCCTTCCCACATGGAGGCTTCCGCACAGTCAGCGGACAGCACAGCCCCGGCCGGCACCCATGTGACAAGGGGGCTCCTGCCGGACCCAGGGCTCAAGCCACTCCCTGGGGCTCACGCATCACAGGGCCGCGGTCTGCCCTGTCCGCCAACAGCAACCACAACCACTGGACTGCCAGCATTCTCTGAGAGCACAGGGCGTGGGAAGTGGCCTGGGGACAGCCATCCAGAGACGACCTCCAGTGCCCACGGAGCCCGCTCAGAACCCTTACGTCCATGAAGTGTCGCTGGCTGCGCAGCTGCTTGTCCAGACTCGTCAGCTGCTGCCGCAGGGCGCACAGCTCCCCGGCCTGCTCAGCACACGCCCGCTGCCGTGACAGCTGCTCCTGCAGCTCGGCCTCCAGAGCCTCCGTCTGAGTGCGCAGGGCACGGCGGTCTTGCTCGACCTGCTTCCGGCTCTCCGCCTGCTCCCTGCTCATGTCCTCCACTTCCCTCCGAAGAGCTGTAGGGACAAAGGGGAGGGGAGGAGCCCAGGACTCGGAGTGCGGCCCTTGTGCTGAGCGGAGCCCCAAGCGTGGCTTCCTAACAGTGATGCTGACACAGCGGATGCCCACAAAACACAGCTGCCCAGAAAAGGGCAGACACCACGGCCAGGCTTGCTGGCGGCCTAGACCAAGTCCTGGCTAGGACGGCAGCAGGGGGTCCCTGAGGCTTGTGGACCCTGCCCACGGACACGGTATGGCTGTCCCCGTCCTGGTCCTTATCCCACAGGAACAGGACTGAGAGGAGGTCACTCAGCCACCGCTAAGGAGGTCACGTGCACCACCAAGCCAGTGTGAGCCTGTCCTGTCAGACCCCGAGCCCCCATTTGCACAGAGCCACAGTTCGGCCAAATGCCACCGAAAATAAAGCCAAGCATTTTTGCAAAAATCAATACAATTTTAAAATTGCAAATTTTAGGACTGGATGAGTGGCTCAGTTGGTTAAGGGTGCGAGCTCTGAGCAACAGGGTCGCCAGTTCAACTCCCACATGGGCCAGTGAGCTGTGCCCAAGCTGAGCTGCCGCTGAGCTGCCAACAGGTGGCAGGATGGCTCAGCTGGTGAGAGCACGTGCTCTTAACAACAAGGCTGCCGGTTTGACTCCTGCATAGGATGGTGGGCTGTGCCCCCCTGCGACTAAGATTGAACTCAGCACCTTGAGCTGAATGGCCACGAGCTGCAGATGGGCAGCCAGATGGCAACTGGACTTCAGAGCCGAGCTAGCTGCGCCCTCCACAACTAAGATTGAAGGACAACTTTGCTGCTCCCCTTCCCCAATTCACCAATAAAATCTTTTTTAAAAAAAAATTGCAAATTTTAAATCAAAATGGGCTAAAGTAAAAACTTTTTAAGCCTGAGAAAACTCCATCTTAGTATTCCCAAATGATAGTATCAGGTCCTGTTGGAGGAATTCCTCCTCCTCAAACACCCTCTGACATGGAAAAATGCAATGAACCTTAAAACCTCTGTCCCAGGAACACAAGCCCTGATGAGCCCCCCTGCAGGAAAGCGCTCATTACACACCCAAGGCTAGGACAGCATCTCAGGGAAAAGTGGGGACCCTCAGTAGATCAGCAGCCCATCCACAATTCCTGGTGTGACATCGCGGCTGCAGTCCAGGTAGACAACGCATCTGAGAAGCACCCGTAAAGGCAGGCCTGGCTCTGCCAAAGCCGCATGGGTTCAAACTATCCAAATGTAAACATTAAATCCACCAACTTCTGCTCACACTTCACCAGCTGTAAAAGCCGCTCTTCTTTCTGGTTTATAAACACGTGTCTATCTTTCATGACAACCCTCTATCACCACTAACAGAACATTCTAAACATGTGCTAGTAAGTCAGCAATTACGGTGCATTAGCCTTAAACGTGCAGTTAGGTCAACGTCATTCACAGCCCTTGGAGTCGGAACGAGGCTCGTGTGTCACCGCTGTGATGGTCAGTGCTGCAGGAAGGGCGCCCAATGACAGCACAGGCGGCCTCTGTGCGAGCACGTCTGTGTGGCTGCCGAGCGCCGCCTGCGGGCCGGGTGGAGTGGGCGGCACAGCTGGATCACACAGGAGGAGGGCGAGCCGGCCCTGCAGGAACCTTCCAGGGCGTCTTTTTAGCAGTCTGCCGTGGAAGCTATGCAAAGCGTCCCCTCTTCAGTGAGGGGTCTGCAGTGTCCGGGCGAGCGCACAGCAGTCACCCACAGGCCTCTGGCCTGTGCTGACGAGCCTGAGTCCTTGTCGCTAAAGCAGCAGGAGGGTCCGTGCACAGAAACACGGCCTCCTCAGAGATGAGAGCAGGGGACCGGCCAAGAGCGCAGCCAGAGATCAGAGGGGGCGGTGGCGGCAACAGGACGGCCCCTCAGACCTGTTCCTTTCCACCGCCCACTGCCTGGGCCTGAAAGTCTGCCTCCCAGAATACCTGTGTTGAACCCTGACCCCCGGAGTGACGGTAGGAGGAGGCGGGGCCCTCAGGAGGAGGCAGTAACAGGGTGGAGCCTTGTGCTGGGGTCAGAGACCTCCCCCTCCCCCACCCTTCTGCATGTGAGGCCGTGGCGGGAAGACTCCGTCCGTGGCCCAGGGAGCCAGCCCCTCACCAGAAGGAGACTAGGCCAGCGCCCTGGCCTTGGACTTCCAGCCTGCAGGGCTGTGACGACAAACATCTGTTGCTTAGGGGCCACTTGGTCTATGTGTTTGTCACAGCAGCGAGAAAGACTGACACAGGGCTGTATGCACAGGTGTCACAGCACGTCCTGGCTGCCAGGAGTTTTATAAGGCGACAAACACGCAGGACACATGCATCGCCATGAAACATGCACACAAACAGGCGAGGCAGAGTGGTTTTCCACAAGGCACCAGGACCTCCCAAAACTTCTGGAAGGTTGGCCAACACTCGCGAAACCCCAAAGCAGAACCAGGACCCAGGGCCATCCCTGGACCACACCTGGGGGAGCCCGTTGCGAGGGAGGCAGGTGTGGTGCTGGCGGGCAGCATGTCACATGGCTTGCACAGGGTGACCAGGCGCCTTCAGTGACAGCACATGCTGAGGCCCTGGCTGGGAGCACACAGCTGTGTGGGGTGAGAGGAAGGAACAGAGAAACTAGGCCGAGCTAACGATATGGAAATGACAGCAAACCCAGAGAAAGCACAAGAACTACCTGGTGACAGAGCAAAGGAAAGACTGGTCTGGGTCCGGGACAGGGCTCCATGGACACGTCGCTTCTGCAGAGGCGCCGTGTGCACAGGAAGGCCAGGCCTCGGGAAGGCCAGGTGTGGCAGGGCCGCAGGTATGGACACACAGGCCACAACGAAAGGGCCGGATTGGGGGCCGTTTGGTGCAGGCCCAGCCCAGGCAGAGCCCCTCGGGTCTCAGGCAGCTGAGACAAGGCTGCTCCCAGCCCAGGGCCACTGGCTGCTCAGTCGGTTCGCAGCTCCGTGTCTCCGAACCCCCAGGATGAGGAGAATGGGCTGGAAGTGCCATGTTCACGGGATAAGAATGGGCTGGGATGAACAGGGTGTGGGCTGGACCGTCCCGCAGAGCACCTGGGTGGTCACATGGCCCTGCAGGCTGGGTGGTGACACCTGAGGACGGGTGCAGGGGTCCCGCACAAGAGGGTCTGTCCCACTGGGTGGTGCAGCCCATGCGGAGTTCCAGGACACAAAAGGGTGAGTCCAGAAAAAATGCTGAGTGACGAATCCCAGATCTAACAAAAAACAGGGCTTAGAACAGGAGAGGTGTGGGCAGCCCACCCAAGACACAGGACAGGACGTGTGGGGGCATCACAGTGGAGAGAAGTTGCTAAGAACACCTGCCAAGGAACAAGACAAAGACAGCTCAGCAGAAACACTGCATGTAAGAAAACAATGGGTTACAACCTCCAATTTTAAAGAAAGAGAAATCAAATCTAGAATTGTCTCTTTCTAGCCATAACCTCACTCAAGGGTACAAAAGGGAGACTCCAGGCTTCGAGGTCTCAGAGCTTTCCTTCTCTGAAAGTGTCAAGGAGAAAACCACCCACAAGTGGCTGCCGTCAGACGGCCACTTGCACATTGACGCAGGAGACGGAGCTCACACGTTCTCACGTGCACGTGCGCACACACACGTGGGCCAAAGCCTCGCCTGATGCCCGCACGGCTGGCGGCAGTGCAGACGGGGAAAGGCAGGACAGGGTTCGGTGCTGGGGAGTGAGGGGTCCCGAGCAGACAGCAGAGCAAACACAGAAGAGATAGTGGGTGCACAGCAGAGGCTGGTCAGTGAGCTGGGGGCAGAGCAGCCCACAGCAACTGGGGACAGGCTCCAACGCCCATGGCACAGGAGGAAACCAGGCTAAACAGAGCAAAAAGGGGGCCGACAGGTGAGCGTCTCAGAACATCATGAATGTAACATCCGTGAGAGACAATTAGAAGTATTGGAAAAAGTCTGAAAACAAAAGGGTGAAAAGTAATATACAAGGGAAAAGGAAAAAGCTAGTCTTTTTTTAATCAAAAACTTACATCAAAACATGGGAAGGGAGCAAAGGGGCTCCTGTACATTAACGGAAGCAAGCGGAACAAGGTGAGGTTTGGAAACCATCACAGACAGTTTACAGGCTCGTGCGCGAAGACCCACAGCTGTCTACAAACCCTCTTTGCTTGAAGAAGCTGCGGGCCTGTTGGACCCAAATGTCGACCAAGAGCTCAGGTAAGTGCGGGCTGGGCATCTGCCCGGCAGGACGCATGAAGCCAAGAGGGTGAAGCCAGGCACAGAGGCCAGGAAGACGGGAACGCTTGTTCACTCACGAGGAAAATTAAAATAAAACGAGTTCAAGGAGGAGCTACGTTTCTAACGGGTGCGAGCGGCCCTCAAATGGCCGAGGCTCCGCCACAGAGCACCAGCCGGAGTGGCCCTGCGGCCACAGCAAAGGGGGGACCTGGGGACACACGCCTCCCTCGGTGGGCGGCCGTGGGGACCGGCAGCAAGGGCTCCACATGACACGGTCAGAAAGCTGAGCTCACATATTTGTTTCTTACGAATCTGCTCCTGAGGACACTGCTACATGCGAACTCCACGTTTTATACTTTCTATGTTTTGACCTTTTTTATTTAAAATATTCGAATCTCTACAGAACACTTCTGCTAAAGCTGTGCTTTCTTAGTTAACATTAACATGAGGAACTTTTGTGTTATTTTAAGGGACATTTTTAAGTCACTCTATTTTTTTGTGGCCTTGGCTATTTATCTCAAGCATGTTGGCGACATGTGCAATGCCATCTGCCAGAGTCTATTATGACCCACAGACACGCAGAGCCAGGGTGAGCAGGGTGACTGATGTGACCAGCACCGCAAGCACAGGCTCCCTCCCTCTTCACCCCTAGAGACACCCGGCTCCCACAAAGCCGCCGCCCTTCCTACCGGCTTCCCGCTCCTGTGCTTCGGCAGCGGCCGCCTCCTTCTGGCGCACTAGGACGGCCTTCTCCTCCTCCAGCTCTGCCAGCTGCCGGGTCACCTGCTGGAGCTGCTGCCTCAGGCTCTCCAGCTCGACCACGAGGTCCCGTTCGGCTGTTTCCTTCTGGTTCAGCACCTCCTGCAGGCTGGCCTTCTCCACCTTGAACCCCTCGATGATGCCTGGGGGGAAGGGGGCGACATGCTGCGAGGCCCCACCCAGATACCGACAGAGCTGCCGAGCAGATGAGGGCATCCCCATACCAGCACGAGAGCTCAGTGGTCATTCCTGCGTCCATTCCTAGATGGACGGCACAGGGCGGCCCCCAGGCAGGTGCGGGAGCTGCCAAACACGGTGACACACCTCTCAGCAGCCGCGTGCGGGACGTCCCCGCCTCCCCGATGCACACACCACCCTCGTGCCGAGTGTCCAGCACACACGGCCACTGTGAGCACCTGACACCAGGGGCGTGGGGGTTGGGGGTAGTAGCAGAGGCGACTTCTGGGGGCCCCCACTGTCCATCACTCGTGACGGGAGGACAAGCGTTCCCATCTCGCCAAGTTACTCTCTGAGGCTGTTGTCCCCGAGATCCGCAGGAAGTAAGTGCCAGGGGAGAGGGCCGCTCCACGAGCCCGTCTGCTGCCACCCAGATGGTCCCCAAAGGCAGCTCCTTCCACTGAGGAAAGTCACTGATGCCTCACACCATTTGCTTTATTTTTACACTGGCTTTAAAACACTTGGTGCCGACTCTTCCCTTGGCACAGCTCTGCTCTGTGCCCTGGCGTGCCCACTCCAGCCCGTGCCACCTGCCCGCCAGCCGCTCACCCTCGGCCTTGTGCAGCTCCAGTGTCAGCCGCGCCTGGGCCACGTTCTCGTCCTCCAGGCGTTGCAGTAATTCCTGGTGTTTTCTCCCGACCTGCACCATCTCCTCGCTCTTACAGCTAAATTCTTTCTCAAAACGATCATGAATTTGATGTGCTTCCTCCAGCTGTTAAAACACATCGAAAACTGGAACTGTTTATCAAAAGAAATCAAAGCTCAGTTAATACCAACAGAATTCTACTTGTGTGGAATTGTGGTGGGATCATAAATATTCCATAGAGAACAGTTTCAGTGTTCAGTGTTGTGTCAGTTACTAAATAAAGTTGCTCTTTCAACAACTGTGCGCGCACAGACTCACACGCAGGCACCGTCAATACACATGTGTCTGGCATGGCAACACCATTTATGACACGTGACAGGTAGCTGACCATCGAGAGCCCGGCACTTGGACAGGACAAGCAGCCAGCTCTGCAGGAGGAGAGCGGATGGGAAAGGCACGGGGGTGGGAAACAGTGTCCCTGGGGCCAATCAGCACCCTGGGCAGGAGCCCTGGGCGCCTCGGTCACCACCAGGCCCTCCCCGGCCTCCTCAGATGCCCCCGCTTCCCGGTTTGGCCCCGGGCTCCATCTTCCCTTCCTCCCCTGCTCGCCTGGTGGGCATGTCTGTGCTGCGGCTCCCAGGCCATCTACGGGCAGGGGGCCCTGATGACACCCAGCTGTCCCCGCAGACAGCTTGGCACCTGGCCTGGGCCTCCCCCAGCCTCCCTGTGTACTTGATGCAGCTCAGCCACTAAGGACGCCTGTTGGCCTCACTCTGAAAACAGCCCCCAGGCTGCCCCGGGTCACCTCTCAGAGCTCTGTCCTCTCAGGACACCTACCCTGGCCTGAACAGGGCCCCGCACCCGGCCCTGCCACTGCCCTGCCCACCTCCCACAGGGCTCTGCCCCACTCACCCCACCGCCCCAATCCTTCCCTGTGTTCCCTCCCACACCTCATGCCCCTCCTGCCGTGGAGATGGCTAGCCCCCCGAGGAACGCACTCTGTGGGGGAGGACTTCCAGTGAGGGGGACACAGAGACAGCAGCTAGGGCCCATGACAGACCAGGGCACTCGCTCAGACACGAGGCCAGGGCCACGGGCCAGGCGAGAGCTGCAGACACCAGATGACCTCACGAGGGCATCTATTACCATTTAATGGCACTGGGGGACAATCAAAAGCACCTAAGGACTTGTCAGCTGCTGCCCAAACCCGTCCAGTTTGGAGACGGGAGGAGCAAAGGGGAAAGGGGCTGTGAGGCCCAGAGGAGGCATCCGGGCTGGACACTGCTGCTCTGCCCCCGTGCCAGAAACGGCGCTCAGTCGGAGGGGTCTGAGCGCGCCAGCAACCTCACGCTCGGTGCTTGCTTTTAGCTGCGCGCATTCAGGAAACAGCATCTTCACTGCTTTACACTGCCCGACTTAGCGTCTCTCCTACTTGTCCACAACGTTCCCCAAGGGCTAACATGTAACTCCCTTTCTCAGTGGTAACGTCTGAATATAAATGTGCTGACTGTGCATTGCGACAGCGCACGAGAAAGCACAAGTGGCTGAATCACACGTCACCTAAGTAAGGACGCTGTGGCTGTGTTTTCATTCACAGCAAGCCCACTTCCTCAAGACCTTCAGATCAGGAAAGACTCCTTCTCAGGGATAGACGCGGAGAAGGACCTCACTGGCGGTGACGTGCTTGTGTGTGTGTGTGTGAGTGTTGGGGGGGACACCCAAACCAATAGTCTCCAACCCCAAACGCCAGGTGCAGCAGGGACAGAGAGAAGCAGGTCTGCCTGCAGAGCCAGGGTGTCTGTCCCCTCCCTGCAAGGCCCAACGAGGAAGGTCATAGTCCTGCACCCTACGTGACCTGCGTGGTCACCGTCACCGGGCCTGAAGCAGTCGGGATGGGAGCCAGAACAGAGCAGCAGGTGGTTCCGAGCGGGCCACATCTCACCTGCCTGCTAGAGTCCAGAACCATCTCCAGGAGGCTGTCCACTGCCAGGGCGAGGCTCTGGTAGACCCTCCTGACGGGTTGCTCGCACTCCAGTGTACTTTCTGGGCTCAAGAAGAAGCTCTCACACAGGTGGCTGCTGATCTCGGCCTCGGAAGACGTCTCCATGCTCTCAGGCAGAGTCCCGTCCAACTCCGGCACGGCCCCATCACACCCGGGCCACGTCTCCTCCAGAGCTGGCACTGCAGGTGAGCAAACAGGATGACGCGTCAGGGGCGACATCCCATCTCAGCACGAGCAGCAGATTCGGCCCGCCCTGGAGGGGACAAGGATGGCACACAGCGCCTGGCCATCTGGGGCTCACCTGTGGACGGGGCTAGGCTGAGCCCCACGCGCTCGCTGATCCGGCTCTTCAGGGCAGTGGCAGCCTTCAGCGTCTCTCCAAACAGGCCCAGCAGCCTCCTCAGAGCATCCTGGAGAGCTGTCCTGGAAACAGAAGCACAGCAGGTGGCGGCCATCAATGGGGACCAGCCACCTGACGGGGGTTGGGGGGGAAGCCCTGCCTCAGCTCAGCTGGCGGCTCTGTGGACATGAGCCGGGCCGGTCTTCCGGCTGCTGCCCTGATCTTAAAAGACGCTGGACCACTCTGCCTTCAGGACGCTTCTCCGGGTCTTCAACCGGCCGACAGCACAAACCCACAGTCCCATGTCACAGCCTCCCGGCCCTCAGGGCCCTGCCCTTTTATGAGACACCAACTCAAGTCAGCCGCCAGCCTGCCCCACAGCTCCCAAGGACCAGGGTCTGACGTGACCTGCTCCTCATGGGACCAGGAGCCAGCCCGCACTCCGTCTCTGAGCTGGGCCGCCTCTGACCCCCAGGGTGACCCCACCCAAGATGTGGCTGTGGGCAAAGGGATACAGCTGGTGGTCAAGCCGGACAGGCTGACGTGGGGCACCTGCACCGTGACGTCACGACTCGTCCAGGCACTCCCCACCGAGGGCCCCACATGGGCACGGCTTCCGACACAGGATGCCACATGCACACGCGGAGCTGTGCCTTGCAGGGCCAACATTCCGGTGACAAAGCAGGAACTGGAGGGGACACCAGCATATCACACAGAGCACGCGAACCTTGGGGCGGCAGGGGCCCGACAGCTTCCTGCTGCTGCCCAGACCCCTGCAAGGGCTACCAGGGGCACGGGGTGGGTGCCCACAGCATGTGCCAGGGCCCTGGGGTTAGCGTGCGGGGGAAGAGAAGGGTGAGCGTGGAGACGGCCGGCCAGGGAGGGCAGGTGTTGGCTCTGCTCTGAGAGGAAACGCCAGAAGGCTCCTCCAAGCTGCCCACACCTCCACCACACGTTGTGTGCCAACCCCTGATCCCCAAGATGATCCCAAAATGCCACACTTGGTGTCTGGGCGCCTGCAGCTGCTGCTCACCAGGAGGACACACTCCAAACACCTAGGGGTCATTTGCTCTCTGCCATGTCCCTCCCATGTGTGGAGCTGGTGACCGCAGAGCCTGTCATGCTCCACCCTGCGCCCACCTTCATGCCGACTCAGGCAGCTACAAACAAGGGCTGCAGCAGCGAGCAGGTGTGGACAGAGCCATGGGGAGAGCAGGGCGCTGGGTAGGGGATGCTGAGCAGGGACCCCCGGCGAGCTCGAAGCTGAGCCAGGCCCACTGCTGCCTGGTCTCTCTCAAGCCTCAGGGTCAGTACAGGGCTACTGGGAAAGGCCGCAACAGAGACAAACTGATGGGCACAGCAGAGATGGAGGGGCCCGGAGAAGGGCCAGCTCATGAACAGGACGCTGAACAACTGCTGAGAGAGACAAAAACGGAGACTCTCTGACGTCAGAAGCAAAGGAACAGCTGGACAGTTCCAGACGCGCTCTAGCCATATAGTGAAGCAAGGCTAAACGTGAGATGACATGAGGGGACAAAACCTGTGTGGCACCAGGGGAATCGCTTCCTAAAAGTGGACCCCAGGCACCAGGACAAAGGGGCAGATGGCTCTCTGCGCCTGTATCAGCGTCACATTTTGCAATTCGGAGAAAGGCGAGGTCCCGGCAAAGAGGGATGGTGGGTGTGCAGGCGTCCACCGCGTCATTCCGCCCTTTTCTCGGTGTCTGAAATCTTTTCAGAGGAGAGCTGTGCAGCAGGGTCCCCCCTGCGACACAGGTACACTGGGGCGCAGCCACTGACCTCTGGCTGACAGACAGGGCCGTGTCGGACTTGAGCATCGCGATGAGGTTTGCACCCTCCTGGTTCTCCCGGTCGCGTCTCTGCTGTAGCTCCTCCAGCTCGCAGCTTAAGGATAAAACCTGGTCCTTCAGCTATTGTGGGAAGATCAGTCATACTTTAGTTAAAACAGTTTAGTTAAAAATTTCTGGAGCTTTCACCATAACTTCTTCACCCTACTAATAAAAAAATGGTGAAAGACAAACAGGTGGTGATTAAAGGTGAAACCCATAGGCATGCTTTGCGCCATTGCCCTCCCCTACAACGCAGGGCACAGAACCCCCAGGCCACCGGCCCGGGCGGGGACAGCGGGCACAAACCCACCTGAGCTCATTCTCACAAACGATCACTCAAAACAAAATCCTTTTTTGATCATTCACAAAAATCAGTCACCAGGCAAGTGAAGATTGCTCATACATATTCCTCTGACGAACAAGACAAAAAGTCAGCAGCTGTGGTGCCTCAGGGGGCCGTCCGAGCAGTGGCCATGAGCCACGGCGGTCTTGTCGTGCCACTTAGCGAAGTGACAAGTGTGTCTTCCCAGCAGCAGAGCCCCTAGCCTCTTAAGGCAAGAGCTCTCCCCTGGCCCCAGTGCCCACAGCCGCAGTTTCTCAGGTCGGATCAAATTTACTACCGAGAAGAACATGGGCGCCCTCCCCATGGAGGACAAAAGGACAGGGGCCACCACCGATCTTGCTGGGGGACACCCAGACACCCACAGCTGCAAAGCAACAACGAGCTGGCGCACCCACGGCCGCCTCTTCATCCAAGAGCAGGTTTGTGGGTGGAGAAAACAGACACGAGAGCACCAGTGCAGGGCCCATAAAACAATATTCGTAAGTACAAAAAGAAAACAGGCCAAGCGAGGAGGAAGGCATGATTTCCTGCCAGAACAACTGCCAACTGTCAATATTTTCCGTGTTGTGCTTGGAGGGGAATCGGAAAAGAATAGGGTTCTATAAAGCATGGGTTACGTCAGCTAACCATAGTAGCTGGGCAATGAAAGAAAACGCAATAAACAGAGAATTGCAAGCTTCAAGGTGGCAGAAAATGACCCCAAATGAACAAGAGATCAAGAAGGTAAACTGTGCCCTCCGCATGCTGCCTCCCACAGACCTGCTCATGGCTGGCTGTGGCCCCAACTGCTGGTGTGGCGAGTGGATGGCCGTCAGTGGGGGGTGGCCGCGGAGGGCCTCATTGCACTGAGCCGCCTGGCAGCCTAGGTCGACCTTGGGGTGGCCACACCCATGACTGTGGCCAGGCCACAGAGGCCACCATGACGGTGGATTCCACTCAGAGCCTGCCCTGCCCCTCCCCACACACACTAAGTGGGAAAAACTAACATGGTCATGAAGAAGAGAAGGCAAACAAACACCATAACACAACCAACCACCACAAAGTAGAAAGTTAAAACGTTCCTGTCCTATCTCGCACCCTCAGGAAGCACGTAACCCTAACTACCCCACACTCCATCCCGCGGCTTTCTCCCACCTCCACATCAACTCCCTTAGTTCTTTCTCTCTTTAAACTCAAACGCATAAAGGAAACTGCAAAGCATCCCTCTCCCAAGCATCTAAGCTCTTGTTCCCTGGCAGATGTCGTCAGTGTGGCTCACATAAACGCTTACACAAATTCTCTACAGGGCTGGACGTTCTTACGTCAACATATATACAGCGGAATGTGACTGAGCCTTAAAAAGGAAGGACATTCTGACACCTGCTCCAACGTGCAGGACCCTGGAGGACACAAAGCTGAGAGGCAAGCCAGACACAGAAGGACACTGTCAGAGGCCCCTGGAGGAGTCAGATCCTGTGACAGGAAGTAGATGGTGGTGTAAGTGCTAGAGGCGGGGGCAGGGAGCTAGTGCTTAGTTGGGAAGACGGAAAGTTCTAGGGATGGTGGTGATGGTTGCACAACACTGTGAGTGTGGTTAATGGTTCAGATGGAAATTTCATGCTCTGCAGAGCTCACGGCACGCAGACGGTAGGGAGGACACGCATCCCACACACCTGCAGCACCTGGTCCTCGCTTGCTTGGAGCTGCAGGCGCAGAGCCTCTGTCTCCCGTTGCTGAAGGGGCTGTTCACACGCCAGACTACGCATCTTCTCGTGGTCACACACAGCAGCTTTCTGTTCACTGTCAGGTTCACCCTGCACAGAACACATTATTAAGAACAAAAAGATGCTATGAGGGTATGAAATTATGCTTGCTCCATTTCTCTGCTGTTCACTAGAATTTAGTTCATTCAACAGATGTTTACTGAGTCCATACTCTGTGCCAAGAGGAGCGGGCCAGGGGCCAAGCACAGAACGCCAGGAAACGGCCTGCTCCCTGACGGCCGGCCACACGAGCAATTCTCCGTTGGCAGGGACGCAGGACCATCAAAGCCCAAGACACTGAGAAACCTAAGTTCCTTTGATTTTCAAAGGTAAACGCTGTTTCTTCCTTAATAAAAGGTGCTTTAATTAGATTCACCTACTGAATTAAACTGTATTAATGAAATAAGCTTTTTTTTTTTACAGAAAACTAGAGGTTGCACCTTCAGAATGACACTATAAGGACCTCCAAAAGCCCACTCCTCTATACAAGCGCCCTGCACAACGCTGCAAACACTGAAAATCAGCTTCCTCAGGGCTCTGCGAATAGGAAGGTTTTCGACAATCCAAAGAGTGTTTATGGGAAGAAAGGCTGAGTCTCCATGGCAGCTGCCAGCTCTGGGGGCTGGAATCGGTCTGATCGCTCCAATCTCGGGGTCAGACTAGAAAACAGCACCCCAGCAGCCATGCGGGGGGGTGGAGTTCCCCCAAAGTGCCACCCCAGCAACTGTCACCAACTGACCTGCCTGGCAGCTCTCTGAAAAGCTCCGTTCTCAAGGCTGTTTTTTTTTTTTTTTTAAAGATTTTTTCTTTTTTATTGGGGGAATTGGGGGAATGGGAACAGCGCTGGGGAATTGGGGGAAGGGGAACAGACAAGTTGCTGTCGTCTTGTTCTTCAGTCTAGTTGTGGAGGACGTTGCTTCACTGGCCCAAGTTGGCACCATCATTGCGCTCTTCTCTGGCAAGGCAGATCAGTCGCCGGCTTCTGGACGGCCGCTCACTGCGGCTGCTGGCCGCTCACGCTGGCTGCTGGCCGCTCACGCTGGCTGCTGGCCACACACGGTAGCCCATGGCAATCCACTGCCACAGGGGCTGCAGCCTACGCCGTCGCCGGCGACTCATGGCAGCCCAGCTCCAGGTCGAGCTGTTGTTCAGCATCTCAGCTGTGGAGGGCAGTGTCACTGGCCCTCATATGTGGGATCCGAACCAGGGCCCTCTGGCATCCCAAGCGAGTTCTTAACCATCGCGCCACTCGGCCGGCCCTCAAGGCTGCTTTTTATCTGACCTGAGGCAGAGCTCACTGCCATTGGTCAAAAACCATCGCAGCAGTGGTAACAGTCGGCTAGAAGGGGCTGGCCAAAACCTCAAAAGGAAACACTAGGAAATGAGGTGTCGGCAGGGGGCTCTGAGAAGCCCCAACACACTCCTGGGCGTTTGGAAGCAGGAGCACAATCCGTGCAGATGCCCAGAGTCCCAGAGACCCAGAGGGGATGAGCTCTCCCCTGCCCCCGCAGCTCCCCACAAGAAGACTCGCAAGCTGCCTGCCAGAGCCCTCACAACAGGCAGGCAGGAAACGGGGCCACCCAGGTGTCCTGGAGCTGGAAAGCGCAGCCACCGAAACGAAAACCCCCAGAGGCGCTCCACAGCAGACCGAGTGGGCAGAAGCGGCGAACGTGAGGACAGGTGACGTGAGCTCCTCAGTCCAGGGAACAGAGAGAAAAGGGAGTGGAGAGAGGTAAGCAGAGCCCGAAGGCCTGAGGGCCACCATCACAGACAGGCCAACGCCACAGAGCAGGAACCCCAAGGGAGGGGCAAGAACAGGGCTGAAAGAATACCTAAGGTAAAAGCCCGAAGCCTCCGCCAATCTCATGGGAAAATATGAATCTACACACGAGAAGCTCTGCGAATTCCAAGTAGAACAAACTCAGAGACCCAGACCTCGACACATCATAAGCAAACCGCTGAGACAACGAAAAAGAATCTCGAAAGCGGCCAGAGGAAAGCAGCTCAACACAAGGACCCTCAACGGAGTGAGAGGCAGCCAGTGGGACTGGCCGTGCATCAGGAACCCGAGTCAGAGGCAGACGGACGACACAGGCGCTGGGCAAAACTGCCCCCCAGTCAGCCTGCGTCCAGGACACTGCCCTGGCCAGTGAGGGAGGGACCATGACATCCCCCGACAACAGGAACAGAGCACTTCTCAGACAGACCTACTCTGCGGAAACTCTAAGCGAGGACCTCAGGATCCCACGAAAGGACGCTGGCCAGTAACGAATCCAGGAAGAACAAAGAACACTGCGGAAGGTAACAAGGAACGACAAAACAAACAGACTTTGTGTTTGTGATCCTTTTCCTCTTATTTGATTTAAAAGACACCTGCATAGAACAATGAGTGTGACAGGGGTCAGAAGGATGCGCTCCGCGGCCACATGAGCACAGAGGAAGGGCAGGGATGACGCCGCGCGGGACAATTTCATCAACTATGAAAATCAAGTTTGTCCAATCTCAACTACACTGTTACAAGGAGCTCACCGTACTCCTAGGGTGAGCACTAACAAAATAACTCAAGAAATGTAAGAAAACAAACAACCAAGGAAATTAAAATGAAAAGGCGGCAGTAATGGAGGGTTAGAGGGGAGTGGAGACACTGACACAGAAACCAGGAGTGGGCACTGACCCCACGACGGCCAACACGAACCTGGAAACGGCACACTGAGAAAGGAACCAGACACAGGGCACACGTGTGATAGGCGCCATTTCTCTAAAACGTCCAGAAAACGCAAATCCACGGAGACAAAGTGGATTTGAAAGACATGAGTGATTGCAGGGGGCTGGGGGAGGCTGCAAATGGGTGAGGGGCTGCTTTGTGTGGTGACGCAAATGTTCTGGAATTAGTGGTGACAGCTGCATACTTTGTGAATATACTAAAAAACACTGAAATATATACTTTAAAAGTAATTTGTATGGTATGTGAATTCTATCTCAATAAAACTGTCATTAAAAAAACAAAACAGGGACAGACAGGTGGCTCAGTTGGTTAGAACGCAGTGCTCAAAACACCAAGGTTGCCAGTTCAATCCCCACATGGGCCAGTGAACTGCGCCCTCCACAACTAGACTGAAAACAACAACTTGGCTTGGAGCTGATGGGTCCTGGAAAAACACACTGTTCCCCAATAAAGTTTAAAAAAAAACCAAACCTACAGTAACATTGGCATGAGACATGAAGGTGCTGAAAGCGGTCACCCTGTGCAGACAGCCTTCTGTGACAACGGCCCGTTAAAGCAGGAGCAGGCTTGTGGGGCCTGCTGCGTCACCACAGCAAGGCAGACAGACAGACAAGCCCTCGCAGGTTTAAAATATTTGTGATGATTTCTTAGCAGAAAAGGTATGCTAACCAGCCAATCTCAACACAAAAAGGAACAGAAAAGGTCACCTAGAGACACCGTCCCTGAGACGATGGAAACAGCTTGTTTTCATTTGCCCACGAACTTTCATTTACAATGAAACATCCCTCTGAACCCAGCACCTGTGGCCAGGGCAGCTGGGCACAGGTGGACATGTGTCCACTCCCGAGATAACCCTCGTTCCACAGTTTGCTCTGCGGTGACACGGAGCCACCGTGTGTAGGCTCTGGGTCCTCGCCTCAGTCACAAAGCTCAGAAAACGGGGCCTGCCCGATGAAGCACTAAAATTATACTCCCAAGTCCTAGAGGCCATTTGTGAATCAACACAGGTCATTCTTATAAACTTTCTCTTCTGAAACACATTTCATTCTAATCCTTTAGAATTCAAGCGCAATTTCTGAGTTAGGACACACTGCCAAGTTGCAGAGCACATTATCTCATTTCTCCACAGGGCAGTCTCCTGGGGAACGGCCGCCGGGGGGATCACCTCCCGGGGAGCGGGGAGAAGGGGCACCTCCGGGGAAGGACACTGCAGTCCTGAGAGCACCCGGGTCCCACCAGAGGTGCCGGTCCATGTGTGCGAATCACACGAGAACAGAACCCCAGCACCAGCGGGCACCACAGACAGCAGGGCCACAGCCCGGGGACAGGGCCACAGTCCCTTTCCCCAAACACACCCCACATCGAATGCTTCCACCAGTTGTGGAGGACACTGGGAAAAATAAGAAGACGTCAATTCCCAAAAGGCGGCAAGTCTCCCAGGACGTGATAGCGCGTGACTCCCCGTCACACGGGACACTGAGCCACAGGGGCTGAGCTCTCTGGACCCTGCTGGGGGCTTCCATCTCGGCACCTTCAGCAAACGGGCGCTGGTGACAAAGCAGTCTGCTCACCACACCCATTAAACACTGTTAAGAGGTGGGGGCGGGGTGACCAGTTAGCTCAGTTGGTTAGAACGTGGTGCTGATAACACCAAGGTTGCCGGTTCAATCCCAGCGTGGGTCACTGTGAGCTGCGCTCTCCCTAAAAGAGTCAGCTGTGCCATTGTAGCATGAAAGCAATGTGTAACCAATGACCATGGCTGTTCCCCCAATAAAGATAATAAAAAATTTCAAGTTTAAATTTAAAAAAAGGCAAGGCTACACTCGTGGCTGGGGGACTCTTCTAGCCACAGGAAGTGTCCCTCAGACAAAAACCTTCAACAAAAGCCTAACGTATAAAAACAGACACAAACAACCTCTGCCTGAGAGGAGGGCAGGAGCTCCCCACACCCCCGAGTGCGGCGCCCACACGGAGCACCAGACAGGAGCAGGGGCAGCGGGCTCGGACAGCCTCTGTTTGGCCATGCGGTCCTTGTGTCCCTGTGTTACTGCCTACAAGAGCGAGGGCAGCAGGTGGACTCTACGTGGGGCCCTGGCTGGGAAAGGTGAGCTAAGGAACCGACCCAAGGCCAGCCGGCACCTCCTCGTCTGTGGCCAGCGCAGGGCAGCATGGGCTGGGGCAGCCAGGCAGAGCCATGGCGGACTCCTCACCTTTCACTTGGCTTCAGGAGGGTTTGAGGCCGGTGCAGACACACCAGGTCTAACAGGATGGCACAAACCAGGCTGGAGAGCAGCTAACCCAGAGCGCTCGCCCCACATGCACTGGG